CGGCCCCCACCTCCTGCGCTGGGCTGGCCCCAGCCCCGCCGCCCACGGGGAGACAGGGCCGGAGTGCAGAGCCCATCCCAGCAGCTCCCAGCGCGGGACCCTCCCCGGGTCCCCACCCGGCGCGCGGGACGTTGACCGAGGGGTTCGCTGCGGCGCTCCATCCCCAGAGGGAATCTCCAGATTCCAGGCCCACAGGCCATGGGGGCGGGGAGCAGCCCCACAGGGAGCACATAGAGCCGGCCGAACCCCGGGGCTTTCGGGGTCGGGAGAGCCCATCCCAGCAGCTCCCAGCGCGGGACCCTCCCCGGGTCCCCACCCGGCGCGCGGGACGTTGACCGAGGGGTTCGCTGCGGCGCTCCATCCCCAGAGGGAATCTCCAGATTCCAGGCCCACAGGCCATGGGGGCGGGGAGCAGCCCCACAGGGAGCACATAGAGCCGGCCGAACCCCGGGGCTTTCGGGGTCGGGAGGGTCCCACACCCTGACGGTGGAGTGAGGGAGCCTGGAAGGGCTACGGGCAGCACCCATTGGCCTGGCTCTGCCCTGTCCCTTGGAAACCAGGCCTCTCCATCAGGCAGGGCAGCAGCACCACCTAGCGGCCCCGAGAGGCCGGAGCAAGCCTGCAAAGCAGGACCCGAGCGGGAGGTTTTTCTGGGGGGGCTTTTTATTCTCGCACCCAGTTGGCCCCTCGCTTTGGGGGGTCCAGGAAGCAGGGGGAGGCGGTGGCCCCCTCCAGACAAGGGCAGCTCGTTCGCTTTCTACCTCGGGCACGAATTCGCTCCTGTTTCTCGATGCCAGCGTGAACGCCGGGCCCTCACGCCGGAGGCAGAAATAACAGTGGCCCCACCGACCCCGTCTCCCATGCCAGCAAGTGCTACCAGGCTGCTCCGGGCCTGCGCGACGCTGAGGGCTCGCAAGCCCAGCCGCGTTCGCAGCGGAAGAGTCTCGCCGACAGAGCGAGGCCCGAGCGTATGGACACGCTCCTGCAGCCAACGCAGGCCGTGCAAATCTGCCTCCATAAAGGTGGGGGAACACCCCCGAGTGCGGGTTCAAGTGCCACGGGTGAAGCAACACGAGCCGGAGGGGAAGAGGTTCAAACCGTCAGCTGTGGCCGGGGACCCCGGTGGCGTCTAGCTGGGGAGGCGTGCGAACCCCTCACACGTCGCAAAGACCAGTCCCGCCGGCGGCCCTTCTCCGTCTTCCCAGCGAACAGGGAGGGGGGGGCGTGCTGAGCAGAATCGGGATGTTCGATATCGGTTAATCGAATAGTCAAGTCACCTCAGGAATTCTTACGGGTGACTCGACTATTCGATAGTCCCCAGGGAGGGTCGGCATCCAGGGACCTCCGGCCTCACTCTTGGGGAGCCCCCGGCCACCCCACACTGCTGCCTCTGTATCAGAGGCAGCAGCGTGGGCTGCCAAGCGGGAGCTGGCCTGTGAGGGGAGGGGGTTTAAAAACCAGCTCCCCGCGCTGCTGCCTCTGATACTGAGCCAGGGGGGCTGAGCTCCTGGACCCAGAGTAAGCCAGGACTGAGCCAGGCTGCCTGGCTCCTCATGCACTTTAAATGCAGAGTCTCGGCGGGGGTAGGTCCTGGACCCAGGGCGAGCCAGGCCTGAGCCAGGCTGCTGGCCAGCCTGCTAAAAATTGCACTGGCGGAGGGAGGGGAAAATGTGCGGAGTCCACAGCATTAGCCTATACGCTTTTGCTTGTCGGTTAATCAACTCACTGCTACGCCCTAGACCAGAAAGCTGGCAACAGAAACGTGTGCGGCTGCTCCAGCTCCACCAGCCAGGACGGCTGCACCCGGAACATGGGAGCAGGATTTTTCACTAGTAACTAGCGACTGCTGGCTGGGTAAGAGCCGAGGCCGACGCCTTCCAAGGGGCTTAGAGGGGTCGGACCCCCCAGCATAAGAAACCATCAACGGGCCTGGGGTGCAGGAAGCACCGAGCACCTGCTCTCTGACAATCCAGCCCCCTTGAAGACGTCTCCGCTGAAGCCCCCCAAATCACTCCTCCCCTCCCAGAGCGCTAGCTAGGAGTCGCGCGGCCGCGTTCGCTGAGCGGAGCAGTTCCCAGGAATTTGTTCACATGGGCACGGAGCGGGCAGGGGTCTGACGTCGCCCCTGCAGCCAGGCACGAGGGGTCTCCCGAGAGGGGCACAAGCAGACACACGCACTGAAAGAGGCAGGCACTGGCATGGACAAGGAAGGTGGGTAACGTACAAAGTGGCGTTAATTCCGCATCAATAGACAGCCTTTGGCTTCCACCCATGGCGGCAGCAGGGACCCAACCGGCACCAACACGCTGGGCCTGGAGCTCTGCCCAGGCTTAGCACCCAACCAAACAAGACGCCAGCCACAAGAGGACCACCACCCCCATCTACAGCCTCAGGCAGAAATGCAGAAAGTAGCCACGTCCGCGACCCCAAGGGGCCTCTTCATCTCCCTTGTAACCGTTTCTGACAATGCCTTGAGCACGCACCCACTTCAAATCTCCCTCCTTGTCATCCAATGAGCTCACGTCATCCTTCAATCAAAACCGACGGGGTGTGACCTTGGAACGGAACGGGGTTTGGCGGGGGAGACTCCATTTAAAGCAGCAAACTCTTGTGGGTTGACGGACCCCTTGCAGAGGCGAGGCACCTGCGAGATCGGATCTGTCTGGGGGCGCTGGATGATGCAAAACACACTGGGAGGGAGGGGACTGGGACCGTGTCGGGGTCACGGCAGGTGACAACCACTGGAGTTTGCTGCAGCTAGACACAGCCCCTCCAGACACGCCCTGCACACTGCTGGTGAGGGGCCGGGCCGGGCGCTAAAGCAGCAAAGCACTGCCAGCACCCAAGGGTGCAGGGCAGGTAGGGACCCAACTGGACTGCACCCCGGAACGTCGCCATCGCCCGCTCCCCCGCCCAGGCCCGGCCAAAGAGTTTGCAGGGCCTGAGGCAGCGTGGCTGAGTCGCACGGCCCCCAGTCGGGGCGGCGAGTGAGCGGCCGGGGGGGGCGGGACCGGGGGAGGCGGGGCCCCAGGCAA